CATACCAATTTGGCACTATTACGAGGTAGATGGTTTCATACCCGCCACACCTTGGAGATTAAGGGGTTTAAGACCATCTATATAACGAAGGTAGAAGATTCGGCGTTTGAGTCTTTGCATACTTTAATGGTCAAGGGTTCGATAACTTACATGGTCATAAGGTTCAGGGTTCCTGTCACACTTATCAAGTAGCGGTTTCTAGTCGTTATTCATGAAATACCTCTTTCTTGTAAAGCCCTTTTCTTTCTTGTGCGGTTTCAAAAATACTTTTATTAGTTTTAAGTGCCAACCCCGAAATTGTTTATCATTTCCAGTTCAAAACTTTTAACTTTCCAGGAAATGTAATGATTGTTCAATTATCAAATTCATATACGCTATTTTTCTTCCATATATTTCCTTTTCTATAACTATGTATTTGTCGCGGAGCCTTATGTATTTAGATGGGCAGTTTTTTTTAATGTTCCACCTTGGAATAACTACCCTATTGTTTCTCATTATCTATATTTGCAATGTTCAGACCAACCAATGTCATAGATTGCCCCCTCATAAAACAGTCATTCAATTATATTCTGTCATGAATCAAGGTCATTTCGCTTAAGTACTCACCGAATGCTTTTTACGCATTAAAAAAGACATAGGCGAGGATATTTAGCGTTGTCTTTATACGTAGCTTCCGTAGTACTTCACTCTCAGAGGCACAGATCAGCCTTGCCTGGTAGAATTATATTGCTGCCCGACGATACTGTATTCCCTCACTGCGAAGAAACAGTGAAAGAGAAAGGGAGCAATGCCACTGCTGCTGCTGATAATGATGATGATCATGATAGCTGCCGGAGGACAGTGTCTTCTGATATGGGGTCAGATCCGGAGCTCCAGTTGTGGGGCACTGGGAAAGTATATATAATCCACGCCCGAGCCTAGGGACTTTCGTAACCCGGATTCTTCTCTGGCACCACCCAGACAAACCGCAGCGGGGAATGAGGAGTGATGATAATAAACAAAAACAAATGACGCGACGGCTTCTCTCGTGCTGCCAGCTGTCACGTTGCGACACGGGGCAAATCTGTCGCGCGTGCCGTCGGGCGCATGTAAGCGCGTGCGGCACTAACTCGGAATGGAGAAGCGAAATCTGATCAGTATCCCCGCTGACAGTTCCGTCGGACGCATACATACGCACTCTAGAGAGACGCGCATTGTCGAACACGAAGCGCTGGCGTTATTGGCCAATCCTGTGTGGCCCCTGACCGGACTTCATTCAGCGACGAAGCACGTGTTGGCACACAAATACGAGCTTACGCGTACAGTGGTGCGAGGGCCCGCTGCACAGGCTTTAATCCCCTCTGTTTCATCATCAAATATCTTGAAAACTACATCGAGTTAATCCCTGTTGTCCCTTTCAGCGCGGTAGCCAATGAACAAACGAACGTGGGGAGCAGCCTGCCTTGCAGTTCTAACGATGCCGACGGTGTCAGTATACGCGGCCCCCTAATTTATGCGATGCTTGCAAGGTAACAGCGTTCAACACCAAAACTTCGAGTGTACGTCTGTTCGGGCTCACGATATAATTTGAAACAATCTCTAGGTACCCATTCAAAACAAAATAAACCATGGATTCTTGTATCATTCAAAAGAATTTGATATCAATCAAAGGAATTTGATTGATATTATGACACACGAGGGTAGTTCTTGCCTCGTGCTGTAAAGAAAAACCCTCGACTGTCCATAACGCCAGTTATGGATTGAAAGTATTGACATGGGCTCTGGAGAGAGCTTGAACCTTCTATATGCTCGTCCTATACATTTTAAAAATAAACCTGGAAAGTAATAAACAAATAAACAAATAAATATTACATGAAAGTAAATTGTGAACTGCTTTTGTCATTTTTCTTTTTCTGTACTTTCTGTAGGCCTATGTGTTCAAATTTGGGAGCACGTTAAAAAAAAAACCCAGGTGGCCGACATTTTCGGAACCCTCCACTACGGCATCTCTCACAATTATACGGTGATTTTGGGACATTAAACCCCACATATGAATCAATCAATCTTTTTCTGTACTTTCCACATCTCTGTTCATTTTTTTTCTTTTTTTATATAAGGAGCCTGAAATTATAGCAACAGCAGAGGTTGTTTTGCGAGGGAATGGGAAACGGACTATATAAAAAAAAAGCCTCAGGTTGTGAATATTTATTGTTCCAAACATAAAACGGGAGGCACTGGCGTTCACTGAGCTGTAACGGGTGCTTATGCCACCTGAATGTCTCACCTCACCTTTAGGTTATTAATCACCACTTCCTCGCAACTATACGCTATGAACCCCGTCGGAGATGACCGACTGAATAGCCTTACCTGCCAAGAGCCTTTCCCTATCGACACCTTTGACAAGAGCAGGATTAATGTTCGGTGTTCTCGTCACTGTCAGCAGACATCGCGCGCAACACTATGGGTAATTTTTGGCGTAAGTCTTCGTGAATACTCGCGACCAACATCGACAGTGAAGTGATACTTCACGTCATTGAAGTCCGAAAAAATGGTGAAGATGAAACAAATAATCCAGCTGATCTAGGCAAGTCCGCCTTATATTTTTTACGAAATGAATTGAGAGGGTTAATATAAAAGAATACATAAAAATATTAATTTTAGTGAAAAAACCCTATCAAGCAATGCCGCTTACGACCAAATATCAAAACTGCAAAGGCACAAGTGCATTTTTTTTTCACATTGTAGAAATCGTCGAGCGAATATCAGCGCCCAACCGGCTGGACGGCAAAAACAAAACGTGCTAACTTCTAACAAGCAGTGGAATCATACTGCCCATCAGTAAATCAACATGCAGCGTGGAATAGGTGCCCTTTGTTTATCCGTGGCAAAGAATGATCAAACTGAATTGTCACGCACAAATTCGATCTCAGAAGCTTGTCAATAAGTTTGCGGCCTGCAGCCACATTTTACCTGTTTCTATCTATGCTTACTTTTTGAATATGCTAGCTTGGAAAAGGCATATGTTGTAGAAAACCGCCACAGAAGCTAAGAAAGACACTAAAGTCAAATGACCATTTACGTCAGAGTGAAAGCTCAATGTATGACGACATCTAAAACAACAATATTATCAACAACAGTGCCCTCCTTAGCAAGAAATTAAGGTAAATGCACAAGAACACAAGCGCCGCAGTAGGACCTTTTCAAAATGATCCCGATGACATAAGATGGACCGCCTAAAATTATTCACTAGTAATCGATCTAGCTGCGCTAAATAAAGAATATTCCGTGCATAAAGAGACGCAATAAAATTTTGCCTGTTTGTTTCTGTTTGATTCATAAAAAAATAACCGCCGGGCGTTACCATGGGGAATGGCGCGAGTGATTCAACAAATCAATTTTCGCGTAGTTACACTGGATATGTGGAGCCGTCTATAGCGGGGCGTAGTCGAATCAAAAAACGTCTGCAATCTCGAAGCCAATGGTGGGAAATTGATCAATGGCTGTTGTTGCTGCTGTGGCTGCCACTGCTTTCGGTCTACTGCAACTAGCGCAGTAATGCCAGGCAACGTTGTGCATGTCAACAGTGACATGAGTTGGTCCTATCGTTCCGCTTCTTGAGGCAGGTAATTTGAAGTGCGCTAACCCAATGCGGAGCACTAAAACGTAATTTATTTCAAAACAGGCCCTTCCTTGGCATAAAAATAACACTACGAGGTTTCCGGACTGCCATTTCAACAATAAACTTCAAACTAAATAGTTGACTTTAGTGTCTTTGTAACAACCATCTCATAATGAAGAAAAAAGATAAGTTAGCTCCGCCGCAATGCAAACTCGTAATGCGGCGAAACGTGCAAAAAATTTCACAAGGGATCACTGGACGCAAGGTGCGTTAAAAGAAATGCGTTTTTTTTTTTTCTGTTCGAGGATAGCTTTTGTGGACCTCCAAAAAAATCTTCGTTGGATCTCCACTTGAGAACTACTGCTTTATATGGATGTTCAATAGGTGATTGAGACGATTTCTGCTTTTCGGCTGCTTTTCGGTATGGCCTCCTCGTCATCACCATCTATTTTGGCCTGACAGCTTTGCAGTGCTGCAGGTGTCTCTGGTTTTTTTTATTCTGCACACAATGATCAAGATCACCAGATAAAGTCTCAGCCATAAACAGTGCCAATAGGTTTGCATGTACTTATCTATCACTTAAAGCATAGAAAAAACAGAGTTCATCAATTTATTGAAATTTATTTATTGAATATGCAGTTACTAACGCTGTTACGCACAGCTAACAACACGCACAATAGTACAAAAGAACTATTTACACATATATGTAAAAACTTCATAGTAATGAGTTACCTGTGAGCAGAACTATGGTACTTGCTATGAAGTATTATGATATATATATATAGGACCGAAAGAAAAAAACAAAGAACAGGAAGTGAAAATATACAGCGTGCTGTCCTATTTCCTCTAATGTTTCTTGTTTCATTGGCGCCGTAAATATGTCTAATTATATGCCATAGGGACATTCGCAGAAAGAACACACGCTTCACTCAGTAAAGGCTGAAGTTACAGGACGGGGCAGATTTCAATTAAACAGGACAGGTGCGGTCACTAGTTTGAAGGTGGTTGTAAGGGCATCCTGCGTGACCGCCGACCGGTGGTTCTGACATCTGGTACTTTGGGTGACGCGAGAACGCTCGCTTTCCGCGCACTCATTCAGGTGGTGGAGAGAGAGGCAGACATCTAGAGCAGCGACACTCAGAAGTGAGTGTGTGTTCCGACCTTTAGCGGGAGCAGGGCACGCGCCCCTAGCGCAGCAATATGGCGGGCAGAGAGCAAGAAGGTGAAGTCGTCGAGAGGAGAGGGCAAAATACACACCGAAAGCGTTCCACGGAGGGCGCACTCTCCGTTGCCGAAGGTGGGCGGGGTTCAGGGGGGGGGGGGGAGGAACCGAAGCTGAGGGTGCGTGGACAGTGGCAGCTAAGGAAAGGGTCTCGGTGGCGAGGGCGAGAACTCCTCGCTAGAGCGCGGCCCTGGCGTACCAGAAGGGGGTTTTCGCTGGCCCTACGTAGCTGGCTCCCGAGTTCGACTCCGACGCCGCGAGACGCGAAGTAGCGAAGAGGTGGTGACGAGACGACCGAACGACCTCAGCCAAACAACCAGACCCCGTGTCATCATCGGCCCGTGTGAAAGCGAAACCGTCGCGACAAGTGTGGTAAAAAAGCCGAAGTCCCCCCCTCGATAAGCAGCTGAAACCATGAGTTACCAGAAGGGAGGCGTCCTGACCGTCAGCCTACGGCGAGACTTTAGCGCCACGCCGTGGGGGTTCCGACTTCAGGGTGGCTTCGACCTCAACGCCCCTCTCACCATCCAGAGGGTGAGTCGAGTCGCGCGACTCTTCCTGCGCGCCATAAGTCTTGTTTCGTAACTACACGGCCGCCGTGTCACCTTCGGAGCGTCCCAATGCCGAGACGACTTCTCGAGCAAGATGATAATAAAAGGGAGGAAAATATAGTTCTCCGGTTCTCTCGAGACGAGTGTACGTGAAGGTCACGATGAAGTCGTTGACAGAGAGTCCGGAGAAGGAAAACTAACAGCTCTTGTCAGGAACAGGAAGCCTTTCTATTGACCGCTGCATGTTAGTAAGAGTCGTAAATGGTAGTGGATGCGGTGACTCTATACACCCGCAGTGGTTTCATATATATCGGCTATGGCACTGCGCTGCTAAGCACGAAGGTGCGGGTTCGATTCCCTCAAGGGGTATCAGTGCAAGAAAGCTTCCGCATGCTTAAATTTGGATGCCCGCTAAAGAACCCCAAGTGGTTAAATTCAATTTAGTCTTCCAGTACCTGAATCGTGGTTTCGTCAGGTAAAATTCCAAAATCTGTTCTTACTTTTTTGTTCAGTTTACCTCCAAGCAAACACTCTAAATTAAATCATGGTCAGTAATAATTACAAAAAAAGTCCTCGCAACAACATATAGTTCATCCGCCTTTGCATAAACTGATACGTCTGAGTTTTTTTTTTTTTTTCAGCTTCATAGCCAGCATAATGTTTCGAGACGCGACTGTATGCTGTCTTTTATTCTTACGAAGTCCCCTGTTCTTCTTGACCTAAATTCTGTAGAAGTTGTTTTATACGAGCGCAAACTCATCGCACAGACAAAAGAACATGTTATTTGCAACGATGGTGGTGAGAATGCATATTTATGCTTGTTCTTTTCTGACAGCTCGTACGAATTCCAAGGACACTATGGTAATGACTGCAAACTCCTTAACACCACTATCTAGCGAGGGCATAACTATGCAGCAATGTAACGATTGGCGATTTTGGTACTTCAAGACAAGAGTTCTATTCCATTCTAGAAAACAAGGACATGCTGTGTAATCTTCAGTACCACAGGTGTCGCAAAGATGAAGCAATTTGAGAAAAAAGATAGCAAAGCAAGGTGATTATTTCTTCATATCGACGTCGAAGGCCAACTGTGGGACGAATGAGTGCGAACGTGTTGAGTTATATGCGTCAAAGTGTGCCTTACGGTTCGCTCAATCTTTGAAACGCAAATAAAATGTCCGAATGTGGCACTGAGGAGAAGCCGCTGGCTAGTACTTCTCGTACAAACTTGGATAAACGCTGTTACAGAAGTTGGCATATTATTTTGATTGATTCACTTTCAATTAGCTTACTAACTAATGAAGAAAACAACGGACCCAAAGGAAAGACAAGAGGCGACTTTTGACGGCTCTGAGAGCCAAAATGTGCAGGACAAGCAATCAGAGTGAAGAAACCAAAAGATGCCCCGATGCAAACACATAACTCAGCGGGCACTGCAGCGACCAGAAGCTCTCAAGATAACAAAGCGTTAGTCTGACATGCCTCAAGTTACTAAGAGAGAACAAAAAGTTAAATTGAGGGGTGCTGTCGCTTCGGTTACCGCTGTTGCAGATATTCATGAGATTTGCAGAAATACTTGTACGAGAGTCGCTTGATTTTCCTTGCCTCTATAATTTTAAAAATGTGCTCTGCGTACTCCCCATTTGAGCATTTGCTATCATATTTTCAGCCGGTGATTTATATTAGTTGATGCGGCTACCGAAAATAAAATTCACAAAATATGTGGTAAAGCATCATTCAAGTCGCATATGAAATGGCATGTGGCTTAAAAACATCAAGTTGAATGTGCTGAGGATTCCGAGGCGGCTGGCTCGTTTTCGTGCTTTTCTGTTGTGCATTTACTGTGTTCATGCAAAAAAAGCTCACTTTACAGTTTCCCCGCAACAAACGTTTATTGTAGGCATTTATTAACCGATTCCTACAAGAAAAAAAGAATACTAGATATACATCTTACTATACTGGAAGCTGGAAAACACTGATAATATCCCTGGTGTTGGAATGTATAGCGTCAAACGTGGTGGTTATTTATTGAAAGGAAAGATTATTTGACTATATTGTCATACGCATACCATGCCGTACTATTACCATACGTCGTACTTGTGCTTATTTTATTGTGGCTGTGTAACGACTATCAGTATTGATGTTACTGATACGCCATGCTTAGTAAATACGTCTCCACTTAAAAAATGCCACCGCCTGGGTATAGGAGATCGCACTGCGTTCTCTTATACTGAGAATACACGCGTATAGTGGGAAAAAAACTTGACATTTACTTTCCATCATTGATAGTTTTCTACGTGGATGCATCCTCCGTATTCGCACTGGTTTCCCAAGTATGCATCCTCTTCGAAAGCTATGTTCAACAAATGTGCTGATCTCCTTACCCGTAAATGTAGTATAGCTTACGGAAAACAAATTATGGCGTATTTTTTTACGCACAAAAGCCAAAATGCCCTTGTGAGACACGCCACAGAGATAGGAGAGGGTGGCACAGGATTAACTAAAACCACCCGGGGTTATATAACGTGAGTTATATAGGCGCACGCTCCGACCAAACGCGCGACCACTGTGCTACCACGGCCGTACAGGGGACAAAACATTTCACGCAACCTAAATGGCCACAGAATCATGAAGCTACAAGAAGTTGCATTCCACTATTCGGTTCAAAAGTGGCAACTGTAATCTTGAACTGTTCAGTCACCCTAAATCTCGACATTGTGAGCAGACGTTGCACTATAATTAGTTACAACTATACATATTCTGTGAGCTTAACATACCATATCCAAGCGGCTTTTTTTTTTCCTTTATCAGTGGTTCTGACCTGCGTAAACAGACGTTGCATGGCCTTATCTGTTCTCTTATCAGTGTTCGCATAGTAACGTAAAAGTGGAAGGCTCCGTATACAACATACAGCCAGCTGTTCACGCTTATCTTTAAGTATAATTATAACATATGATATTGGGCAAAGGGTGGAGATGCAGACTTCTTGAATCATGCAACACATATCGGTAACACCCGCCAAATATAACTGATAAGCAAGAAGCGCATGCGGACGCTCAGTGGACACCCGGAATACAAGAAGTCCGTTTCGCGAGGCACCTGGAACGATCAGTCATAGTAACGAGTGCATAATACTTGTTTCGACACCTTCGTTAAGTAAAAGGTAGTCCACGTCAAGTGCGCCGCTTTACATATATTTTTCTGGAAAAACGGTGGGAGGCTTCAACGGCACTGTCATTGCCGTCACGCATAAATGCTTTTTTTTTTCTGTAATCATTCATGAGTGTCTACCTCTGTCTACCAGTAACTTGGTGGTGGTAACTTTATAAATGACATACGAAATTATTACTTTCCGCGATAACCACTATTCGTTCGAATCTCTTCAGATACTAGCAGTGAGATTGAACCTTGTCCTCTTAGGTTCCTCCTAGCAATATGCATCTCACTCATACCCGAAAGTTTCTGCAGACTCTGATTGATTGATTGATTGATATGTGGGGTTTAGCGTCCCAAAACCACCATTTGATTATGAGAGACGCCGTAGTGGAGGGCTCCGGAACTTTCGACCACCTAGGGTTCTTTAACGTGCACCCAAATCGGAGCACACGGGCCTACAACATTTCCGCCTCCATCGGAAATGCAGCCGCCGCAGCTGGGATTCGATCCCGTGACCTGCGGGTCAGCAGCCGAGTACCTTAGCCACTGGACCACCGCGGCGGGGTTTCTGCAGACTCTACTAATGTACACAAACATTACAATTGTGTAAATCAGATAACAATAAATAGCAGAAAAGCATAAGAAAGTGGCATTATATAGTCAGATTTGTCGTACGCCGTGCAATGGGGACAAAAAAAAGGAATGCAAATTCAAGAACCGAGGACAAAGGCGGGATAGCGTCTTTTTCATGTTCCCCTATATACAAACAGATTTATTAAGCGTGGTTTCAAAACTGACGCGTTCAAGGGTTCTGAGCTAAGTTAGTCAGGTCTTGTGTGATAACTCATCGGCATATAAATGTCTTGTTTTAAAGAATAATTTTAGACGTTTGTATGCATTTTTTATTGCACGTATTGATCTCATCGCTGCAACGAGTCAGCTCAATCGTGGCCAGTTAAGCTGGCTCCAGCAGCAGCGCTTCATCATCCGGCGTATTGCTAACAAAGTGCTTCAGATTGCTACACATTCGATTGTACATTTACTAATTTTTGTATAGGACAGCGCTTGGGAAGCTTCTCTCCTTAATCTGCTGTGAGCGGTCCTCTTAGTCCAGGAGTACTGCGGCCTCAGTTTTTTTACCAGTGCGGTGGACCAGTTCGAGTTTATCTGTCGAGTCGGAGCTAAAGAGCACCGCCTTCGTCATTCCTAGGGCCCTCGTAGTGGAAGGCTCACAGGTAATACTGACCACCTGGCCTTTTCTCTAACACGCACAGCTTGCAGAGTACACGGGCGTTTTTTTTTCTTTAATTACTCCGTACCCATTGTGTTGCGGCACCATGGTCTCAAGCTATAACTTCATCTCTACATAGTTCGTGAGCTATAGAAGGCCACATACCCCATACGATGTTCGCACCACTCGAAGCATTGTGATTGCGCGCCACTAAATTAATCAGCCACTGGAACCAGCCAAGCAAGAAGATTGAGCCGGCCTAAGCGGTTACGCCATTGAATCGAACGTGCTTTAAGCGTGGAACTTGCTCTGCATGTCACTATAGGAAATTAGCTTTATTAATGACGAATTCCGTGGAACGCATCTGCTAAAGAGAACCTCATTTACCGCTACTCAGTTTGCGTTATAACAAAAGTGAGCATGTTGCTGGAGGAGTTGGATACGTGTAAGCCGTGCACAAGCCATTTTTTTTTATTTCCCCACACGTCAAGATGTCATGCCGTGGCGGCTAGAATAAGCCCGACTACGACTACATAAGCACACGAGCATCCTTGAACGAAGGAACCTCAGCAGATAAACGCAACAGAAGAAGCCAG